GGTCGTAAAAATACTGTAAAAACTTTGGACAGATGTAGTTTTGATGGTGAAAATTAACGCAGCGTTACCATTTATTGCTGAAATTGGCAAATAAAATCGGGTTCAAAATTTTCAGGAATAGTTTGGGTGAAAGTAGAAATCTATACTTCGTGATCAGTTCAGCAGATTAATGGTAGTTCCCCGAAAGAGTCACGAAGTTTACTTTCGCCAATAAAATATTTACAGTTTAGTGTGCAATATGACACATATTTAAATTGGTGCTTTCGGTTGATTTGAATTTGACACTGACGAAAACTTAAATCCGCCCATTTCAAAGCCAAATCAGGAATTTTTAGGACCAAATTTGGTCGCCTTGAATCTAAGCTACCCAAAGGTAATCCCGTCTTAGATAATTAGTAAAATTTTGAACGCGCCACAATGTCGAATTGTTAATTAAAGCGGCCATTAAATAATTTCCATTGGTTAAAGTTCTTTTTTCAACCAATCCCTGTTGTTTTCCAAAATCCCCGAAATTCAAAAAACGTATACTGTATGAATAGCTAAAGACTGGAACTTTATATATAGCTAATTAAAAAGACTGAATTTGAGATCCACTCGTGTTATCGCGGTGCGGTAAAAGAATGAAGGACAAAAGAGGCATTGAAATTTGAATGATGCGCCATATGTGACAATTTAATCTAAGTTTCGACACCATACATTGCCAATAATATTCAAAATTCAAACGGATCTATCCCAGTGGCGGCTGGTGAGATGTATGATTGGGTGTGCTGCAGAGTAGGCGATTTAAGAAAATAAATGGCATATATGGAAAAAAAATAATTTATATATATAGTCATGTAATACTACAATACGCGGTCGCCGAGCCGAACGAGCTGAAGTAGGTAAATGAACTACAGTTGTCAGTTACAGTGATAACTGCAAATCAAAAGGAAAACGTGAATTTGAAAAGTGCGCTTAAGAAGCTACGATCTGCACTCCGTGCAGCACGGTTCTCCTTTACTTAACGATATTATGAAAGTGACCGATTACAAGCGGAGTAGAACGAACAGCAAGTCAAAATACTGCCAGATCCTCCAAGTTGAACGTCTAAGTTATAATCATCACTAAAGATACGGGTAGTTACAACGCTTCTAGTATTTATTTGACTTGCCGCATTAGCGTAATTATATGTTTTATTTTCCCGTTCAAATTAATTATTTCTTATTCAAGATTTGTGTTTTATGTTAGATATTTGTATGATTATTTCTGCTTTCTGTCATATTTTTTGGCGGTTCTGCAGCTCTGCAGCACTTATTGACAAGCCGCCACTGATCTATCCTGAAACTCAAAATGTATCATATTTACAACGAAAATTCGTGAAACAATTACAAAAATTTAACGGAATTTTTTCAATGTACATGACGATATAGTATTTCATAGCTATTTTTATAAATAAATTATGACCTGCCACCTGTCACTTTACCGGCCGCACCTGTTATTTTTGCGCCCGCACCTGTCACATTGCTAAATGTCCCCTGTCATCACTGACAGATTGACATGAATCAAAAGTTCTATGAAAATTGAAATTTTATATTAAAATACGATTTCAGGTAATAGTCATTTATATAAAAGTCAGGAAATCCATCCTAACCAAATTCAGAAAATGTACTGCTTAATGTTTTACTGCATCACTTTTCCTCAAATGGATGGTGTAAGAAGTTAGCTGTGTTACGTAGCTTCTCCAAAAAAAAGTTTCATGCATTTTGAAACATTTTGAAATCGTAGTTTTTGCAAAAAAAACTTCACCCTATTTATTCTACATCCCAAAAAAGGAATTAAATGGATCATCCACTTAAATTTCTGTTGCAACTAATTTTTAATTACACTTCAATTTTTTTTAACATAAATATAGGAATCCTAAATGTCAGAAAGTCATTTTTACCCTACAAAAGGTGTAGCAGTAATTTTAAGCTACCTGGCAGGAGTTAGACATCAAATGTCGACGTTTTACATAATTTTAAGCAACTTTCTGTCTGTATGTACGTGTGTACGTTGGTAATACGGAAACGAAAAATAACGGACCGGTTTTTGAATAAAAATTTTGGAGCGACCAACAATTTTTATTAAGGTATTCGAAAGACCTTATTTTTCTGTTTTAATATAAAAAAATTGAGAAAAAAAATGTCAAAGTAAAAAACTAAAACTTTTTTCGCCAAAATTAAATTAATTCTAATTAGGAATTACAATTATTAATTATATGTTGCCATGTCACATTAAATTGTGACATTAAATTCAAAAAAATAAATAAAAGCAATAGGTAAACTTACCATTTTCAGGAGGAGAATCCGGCTCATATTCAATACCACTTAGAACTCTTGCAAATCGGCTCACGAATGTTTGAGATCGATTCGCTCTTCAGTTTAACGGGGAACACACAAATGAAAACACAAACGGAGCATGTAAGGGGAGTTTTCAAAACAGTGTTTCAAAAATTAGCACACACACTATTCGAGTGTCGCTCCATACTATGTACGTTCTTAGTACCACAAATTCGCTACCCCAACGCGGAATTAATTGTATCAGGAACACTTTCAAAACGGGGTTTTCTACTTGGGTCATATTCTCCTGATCCCCTCCCGCTAGAAGGTTTGCTCGTTTCAAATATAGTAAAAAAACGTAGGCATTGCATTTGAAAAACAAAAGTTGCATCGATTTTCGGTGACACCGGAAGCGATGCTGGAAGTTTGAATATGCGATCAGATAGATCGTAATGTCACCTATAAAATTATATTTGACAAATTTTTCGTATATCGCCAAATGAAAGAAATATTGAGGTGGTTCTCTCAAACATATTGTATACAGGCTGTTTCACGCAAACCGTTACCTAAAAGGATTCATACTCCCATTAATAAGTTAAATCTGAATATTTGCATACGAACATAGTTTTTTATGATCTATCGAAGGAAAATATTATCATGAACATTTCACTTCCGGTTTACCGGATGTGGATAGCAACTTTCTTATTTTAAACAGAACAGATCTTCATAACATTTTCTTTCGATAGATCATAAAAAACTATGTTGATATACAAATTTTCCGATTTAAATTATTAATGGAAGTCTACATACTTTGAGGTCACTGCTTGCGTGAAACAGCCTGTATATTGATCAAATAAAAATCGATCCAAATTTCATGTTAAATTTTTCATACTGAATCTGAGATTTAATTCAAGGGAGAGCAACATATCAAGAGGCTTTTTAAATGGTTTCAAACATATTACAATGCGCCTCCATTCAACCCAATTTACAAAGATCGATTCTTTTAAGAACTTTCTGGTTACTGTCAATAAAAATTTAACGCAATTTCTTAAAGAGAACCGATCGTTATTTTTTATACAAATCAAAAAATTGCTTTACTTTACTTATGGTGTTTTCGCGAATCGATCGTTTTCCCACGGTACAAATTGGTAGGGCACTTCTCGAGGGAATGGTGCATTAGAGCGGACAATATTAATGGAACCCGGAAGGGGGAATTGGTTTTACAATTACCCTTTCGGAATGTTTGAGCATTAAAACGTCTACTTTTACTGTAATCCTTTCTGAACCAATCCAAGAAGCGAGTGGCACGTTTTACCCCAGTATAATGTCGTTTCTGGTGAATGTTGCGGGTTATTCGCGCAAATGAAAATCGCGGGTCATACGAAAAACGTAGTTTTCATCCGACTGCTTAACTTTTATTTATTTCGGACCACGTACGTGATGTTCTCGTGGACCAAAACAGAATACCTTACTGTTATATCTCCGGAACGCGTCCCTCTTCTTGCGATTTTACTAAGCCTACCGACATGGCGCTAAGCGGCCATTTTTTAGCCATTATCCAGTTGGCTTCTTATATCCCAACGAATCATGCGTGCGTAAAGGCCATCAATCAAAACCAACGGCCGTTTTAAAAGACAAATTCATCGCTTCTCACGCAGCTCTTAGAACTCATGAGTAAGCCTAATCTTGCCGTTTTGGTCACAGAGGGCCTATTGCACCTTCAAAATTAAGTATCCCTTAAAGTTAAGCATAACTTAAATACCATAGCAAGGATTGTCGTAATAATCATTGCCATTAATTTTAAGTTCGACTTAACTTTAAGCGAGGCTTAATTTTGTTGGTGTCACTGGGGCTTAAACACATTAAGATTGGATTACAGACCGCCAGACTGGCGCGTAAAACATAGATCGCCAATATTATTAAAAACCCGTCCACTTAAAATACATTTAAAATAACATTTTTTTTATATTCGTCTTCCGACTCCTGGAAATAAATTCATTATATACCTGAAATCAAATCATGATAGGAAAAGACTCACAAATTTCATTCGATATTTGACTGCATTGTTCCAGAGTATTCTAGAAAATTGGAGTAAATAGGTACGCTACGATACTGATTATTATTGCCGCGCTTTACCCAAATATATATATTATATTTGTTAATCTATGACGTGTTGCTGGAGAACTTCATAAATTTAATATTTAGTCTTACCATTTGTATTCAAAATGTCCGACGAACTACGATTCTTCATTAACCCGGATTAATAATGCATCGAGTTATGTACGAAAGGCGACCGCGTAAAATGACTTTCGGAAAAATTCCTCGACTCCTTTTATACTGTCGAAACTGATCCGCTGTAAAACGGAGATGTAACCTTTCGAAATATCTTGTAAAGTAAATCGAAGGAACAATAAATTCGTTCAAGGGGGGTTGTAAAGGGGGCCCTTTTCTTAACTATAAGTGTATGTGTCGCGCGCGAAGGGGGCGCGCGTGTCGTGCGAGCGTCGTAATTGTGCGTGGCTCGAATGCCGACTTTTGATTGCCCATAATACCGCTGTTAGAACTCGAAGACGGAAGGAAATAGAAGAGAATAATTCAAGCAATTCGTTTATTACCTCTCGTAAACAGAGTGAATAATTAAACTAACCCCTCTTTTTATTTATTTGACTAAATGTCCTCTAACCCTTCTGTTTCTTGTTACAGATTGACCCCAAAGTAGCATTTCCACGAAGAGCACATCCAAAGGTGAGTTTTTTTTGTCTTTTTTAAAAGGGAAAGTGTATGAACATTAAATAAGTTTGGGGGAAAGTTTTACCCTCGTTATGTATAAGTAAATAAGCGCGCTGAGCATTTAAAAGTTGTTTAGCAGTTTCTTTTCTTTTGACCTAAATTTCCGGCGTGTTACAGTTGGTAGCATTGTAAGTATTACAGTCGCTCCCTTCGTTAACTATTTACGCAGCCCTCTTTTCGCCCTTCCGTCGTCGCCGTCAACTTGGATAGCTTTCAAATATTAATTCCTCAATTACCGGTCTCATTCACCGTCGCTTCGTCAGTTAAAAGAACCTCATCGGACACTCCGCTTTGTTAAAGAACATTGAATAATTACCTGTTAAGGGCTTGACGATTTCGCCCCTTCTCGCACTAGAGGGATTTTGCCTCGTCATCGCTTTTCCTTGTATATAGTGAGTGTGTAGGGTAAAACTGTCGACTGTGTACTATGAGAAGACGAGGGATTGAATTGCCTCTTATCTTTTAGTGTCAAAAATTGCGAATATCGAAATGTGAACCTTCGGATAGTTCATTTGCATAATTATTATCGTTTAGATTTTGGACCCTTTTGCGAGAAAGCGAGACAATTAAAATTGAATCATATCGGAGTTGCTGCTTTCGCCTTTTTTTGCAAGAACTGTCTAGTCAGGATTTGAGTTCGACTTTTCGATTACTACTCCTCAATTTATCACTTGTTTAAACTACGCTGGCCCCGGTTTCTAGTGGAGAACTTTCAATTAAGTGCATTAGTCACAATAAGATTTAACCCTGCAAATTAATTTCGCCATTGGTCGAGATTCCATTGATAAATCGATTGGAATCGATCAATATTCGTTTACTATGCGGTACGTGCAGACAATAGAACACTGGTTTTTTGCCAAATACCTCAACTGATAGCTATAGTCTAAATCCACAAGCATACATGAACGATGATTTTTAGCGCATTTTCCAGCCAACCAACCAAATGTTAGAAGGTACTATTATGGAGACTTTCTCCGTACTTCCGTCCGAAGACCTAATTAAGTTCGTTCTTTTTGCATTCGGTAGCTTATCGCTCTGGCACCTCAACCAAGAAATATCGTGACGATTAATGTGTGCATGCGCAAACTGCGGATATTTTTTTTTAAATTTGAACCAAAGATTCTTATAGTAAAGGCAAGCATGTCGCATATTGTAACAAATTAGATGTGCGCATGTGGAAACTACGCAATGTCATGTTTCTTATATTTATGGAGATTTTTTGAAATTTTAACGTTAGACGCTTCTAGTAAAGACAAGCATATCGCATATCGTCCTAGTGCTTCCAAACTTCTTTCCGTTAAAAAAGTGGGCGGCCATTTTTTACCGCAATTCCATACTTGTGACTAACATGCGGGTGGTAAAAATTAACCTAAAATGATTGTTTTGTAGAGTGCAAACTCGTGGCGGTTAAAAAATCGGGACTTTCCCTGTTGCATACTAAATAGTGACCTTGTGAGTGGTTCTTGTCTTGGTTAAAGTAAAATGGGTTCTTTTCTTAGCTTTAGACTTTGATTTTGATCAAGTAATCATTTCTGACATGCCCTTTAATTAAAATTCTGGTAGAAATTAGATTATGGTCTTTTTGTGTACCATTTTTTCAGAACTTGCAACTAGAATATTGCAAATTCTTACAATTGCATATCTTAAAATCGTTCCTGATGAAGTTCTTTGATTTTTTATCATAATTTATACTCCACCTCTATTTCCCATTAAATGTCTATTAAATTTTTACTAATCGCGCTGTGTGAAATTCTCATTGGTGTTCATATTTTAAATTTTTTTGGTATCTTCTCTGATATCTTTGAATTTCTGCGGAATTACACTTAAATTCATGATGAAATTCATATGATTTCCTTATGTTAAATTCGTAATTAAGTCCGATTTTTTAAAGTAAAACGTGCATAACTTTAGTGGTGTCAAGTAAAACTTTTGAAGGGGGTAGGGCGGGGGTGAACATACTTTATGGTAATCTAATGAAAGGTCTTCATTGAAAGGTATTAATTTCTACCAACCATAGTCCTCCTTCTTCTCGATAAATATATCGTGCTACAATGTTATTAAGAGAGTCATAGTTACTCCTTGGCGCTGAGTTACCTGCCACATAAACGGCTACCTAACTCAGGGCCGGAACACACAATAAGAGCTTGAGATCTTCCACAGGGGTAGTTCGTGCTGGGCATATTATGATCTTCTTAATTCCGTTACCACTTACCAATAGGGTTGAGCGCCACTCAATTTCTCTTTTAACTCACCCCGTATGAAATTGAGAAGATACGAGGGTGGTAATAACAGCAAAATCAATTCAGGTACCAAAAGAAATACTAGTTTTTTCTCAATATCAAATTGCAAAACAAAATTGCCTCATTAATTGGACAGCGTATCCTCCAAATACAAATTATTCAAAATTATTAGTTACGTTACTCAAAACTCTTGGTAAAAAGGCAAAAGATCCAAATTCCTTGTGCGTTTTCTATTTATCGAAACGTCCATTTCGGGTATGGGGTAACAGGAATACCCATTTCGTACGCGTAACCCTTTTTAATTAATTACTCCTTTCCCCGATATTGGAAAAATATGGGATCGATGTCAAACTTCAAGATTTTTATGCACGCTTCTTTTGAAGTAAGGCGCAGCTCAAACGGACGGGTTTTCTGTAACTCTTTTAAATGTTAATCCTTAATTATACCTTTCCAATTAGTTGGAATTAAATCTCCAAATTCTGAATTCCAGTTCCAGTTCCTTGGAATGTAAGGTCAAGCGGCACAATCGGTTATCACGTTAATAGTTTCTGCAAACTCCACGACCTTGCCGGTTTCAATCCTGGATTTTCGTAGACCATTAGAGAATTAAAATCGATTAATCGGTAATTTTGTTTAAATTCATTCTTTTACAAATTTTTACGGCACACCTCAAGGAATCGAAATCTGTAATGCACAAAGAATATGATTCAAAATGTACTAGTTCATCGCATAAATAATTTCTAAACAACAAAAAGAAATTACGCCAAAGATTAGATCCTTGTGGCACACCGGATAGTTAACGGAATTAACTTAACGCGCTATTTCCTGTCTGAAATTGATCGATACTCCAACACGTAATGAATTGCTTTTTGTGTCATTTTTTTATTTGTTTAATGGACGTCTACCAAACCAGACCACTAGAATTTTGTCGTGCAAAAGGCTAGGTCGCCACACCCTCTCCCTTTAACAATGATTTCCGTTTCTCGCCGTCCAAAAGCAAACGTGTATTATTATTTTTTGCTTTCACGAAAAAACGGCTCAATAAAAAACGGGAATAAAAGAGTGACGACAAATATTTATCTATGTAAACACTTTCGGTATATTTGTGCAGTTTGTTTGTGAACAAAAAATTTATCATCTTTTTCGGGGGAGTTATTTCGTTCTCGGAAAAAAGTTTACAATGAAGTCGTGCGTAAATCTGATTTGTATTACGCCGCGATGAGGAGCGAAGGGGGGCCGGGGTAGAAATATGGGCCGACGTTTAGTAAAAACCTTCGCGTCAAATTAAGCTTTCCAAAGAGTCCTCGCGTCAATTCCAACTTTCCCAATAACTTAGGAAATTACAAGCTATTAACATATCAGCAACTAAATCACGGGTAGATTACTGTGTCAGCAATTTCAGCAAAAAAAAAACGACATTCGCCGCAACTTTTCAGATTAAAGCCGAGGTAATTTCGGCGTGCACTAAAAACGTCAGACTATCATCGGCGGGAGGAAGGCCGAATAAACACGTTTTAAATATGAAGCCAAGAAAATTTTCTCCAGAAGGAAGCTCAGTCATATCGTATAAGACCTCGTAACAGCCTACTTCCGTAGAGTACCGCGTTAATTAAGTCCAAATCAAATTACCATTTGGATTTCATGCTCATTAAATGGCAGTCTCGGCACGGCTGGCGTAGTGACGAGCCCTTGCTTTTCTCATTACACATCCACCACCTCCTCCCCCGACTACCCTCTTCAAGCAACGAACGCTAGCGTAGCAAATAACTTTTGTCTCGGCAAGTACGCAAATCCCTTAAACTACAGTGATACTTTTTAACTTTTCCAGATGTAGAATACAAATGATTGCATTAGAATGTTTTGATATAAAACTTCCTTTTTTTCTATTTCTCCCTTTCTCCGTCCTTCTAAAGGGATATTCAATCCCTTTAATGCACTCTTATATACGTGTTTTCCCGAAAGATAAAAGCCGTCCCCATTAATTTGCATATAATTTCTTATTCGAGAAAAAAAATATCTAATGCACCGGCTAATGTCTTTCAACATCTGGCAGAAACACTCTTTGGTCTCGTAATTTTAAACATTAAAAAAAACCAACCCCCTTACAAGTAATCTGCGAAGAGCTTTCTCGCCAATTTTTTCTTGGTTAATATATTTGGTCCCGTCCTTTGTGCCTGGCTAACTGTTGCTGCTGAGCGCTTTTAATATTCTGTAGTTGCTTGTTTTCTTAACACAAAGTATCTTGATTTGACACGAAATACACATTGTAATGTAATATAAAACAATAAAATGCTTCTTTTTGCATTTTGTTGTGAAGAGTGTCAATTTTAACATATGCAAAGTTCCCATTAATTCCGGACCAAGAAAACAATCAAAAGGCAAGATGTCGACTACATTTTGTATGTATAACTTATAACGTTATTTTAATGAAATTTGGCAAAAATGTTTCAAATCCAAAGATGACAGTATAAAACAGACAGACAGACTTCTTTTTTACAAAATGGCGACTATTTTAACATTTGTCGTGATATCAAGGCAGTACAGTTTAGTTATGACATCAAAGTGAAAGTGACATAGTCGTCGCATCGGTTTATCACACTAGGAATTTTGTTGACCCACCCCCCAGTATTTGTGTAGGACATTCCCCAGCACGTAGTTTGTTAGCAAGAATAGCAGTAGGTAGTTTAGGGCAGTAATCCTTTTGGGGAAGGACGTAGAACTGGTGGTTTATGGAGGGGAGATGGATTACTCTCTCGTATACAAAGA